CTTTATTTTGATTATGAAAGGACACTGCTTTAAAGGGGACAAAAGAATAATTACACTGGCAGTGATGCATAGATTTTTTTTCTTTCTTTATTTTGATTATGAAAGGACACTGCTTTAAAGGGGACAAAAGAATAATTACACTGGCAGTGATGCATAGATTTTTTTTCTTTCTTTATTTTGATTATGAAAGGACACTGCTTTAAAGGGGACAAAAGAATAATTACACTGGCAGTGATGCATAGATTTTATTTCATTATTTATTTTGATTATTAAAGGACACTACTTTAAAGGGGAACAAAAAATTATTTGTATCATGCTATACAGATAAATTAAAGGTCATATATGGAATATCATTTAAGTGGTCTGGAAAAAATGAAATGGTTTGACTTTTTTTTTTCATGAAATAAGAGTTCACAATAAAATAAATTGAGATATGTTTATCTTTAGTTTCCTTTCTATTTACATAACATCCAATATATAATTCAGTGATTTTTCTGATAACCTCTTCTGTAAAGTACATTTTACAATGAGCTATAGGATTGGTCCATAAAAGTTAAGCATGAGCCCTGATAAAAAAAATAGCAAAATTAGAGTTTTGGTTGAAGTTGTAGACTAGTGGTCTAAACACATAATGACAGCTTTTTTTGCTGTTAATTTTGACTTTATAAGCCAATATACATGATTAACCTTGTGTGCATATCCTTATGAAAGAACTGTTTTTTCTTTAAGGAAAAAGTAATCTGCTAATAGGTAGAACAAACTTAAGAGAATCTGTAGTAGTCATTTGGTTTATTTTGTTTTTAATGTTGTTTACGGAGCCACTTAAAAAAATTAAAAAGTATAAAATCTCAAAATATGTTACATGTACAGTTGAACTGTGGAAGAATATTGCATATTTGACTATCAATAGTTTTAATATTGTTCCGGTTCAGTCATGATAAATGATATACACTTTAAAGGTTTTACATGTAAGGGTGTTTTTTTAAAGTCTCCGATGTATCTCCTGAAAAAAAATGGTTTCTTTAAAACTGTTACTTTAAAAACAATTTTTAAGAGAAGATCATTACATTGACAAGTACACAAAACTGTGTTAACATAAATTGTTAAAAGGATCTCCCTTACTGACATTATTTAAACTTGCATACATCTAAGTGTAAGATTTGTACTATATATATTAGGATGCTTTGTTCAGAAAAGCAAATTTTAGTACCAGTTATATTCTATGTAGGTATCTAGGTGGGAAAAAAACATTGGAAGCAGAAAATACTAGCCATGCTGAATGAGATGTCTTCAAGTCTTATAGCCCCTTGTTTCTCTAGCTATATCTCAGTGATGAAATCAACAAATATTACTTTGTCTAAGCATTTCATGGATAGTACATAAAACAAGAAATACAGATGGAAAATTGTGTCTGTTCAGAAAATATTCATTGGATATATACTTTGTTTTTAGAAAGTTATTTGTACTGATGTTATTTATAGACTCAGAGCTTTAGACAACTTTATCAGTTGTAGATCTAACATTATCAAGACATCTAATCTTACTAAAACATTCATGTATAAAATTAAGATAAAATTATGAGCCTCACTGTAGTATAGACTGAAAAGTTATTTAAAATGATATGTTGTATTCTAAGTTATTTTATAATAGTGTAGTAGACATATTTTAGCAGTCAACTTTTTTCTAAAATCTATACAGATTTACTGATGAATCAAGTACTTAAAAGTTGTTTTTTTCTCAGTCTTTTTCTGCAATTTTTTTAATGAAAAAATTACATTTCATCATTTATGGATGCATTCCAGTTACTTTGAATTAAATAAAAAAGTCTGTAAACAGTTTCTGCCATAAATCACAGCCATGAAGAAGTGTATTAAATGTAATGCACTAGGAAAAGTGCATCTTGTCCTGAGGGCAAAATTACATTGAATTAAAAATCACAGAATATAAATGTGTAGTTGTTCTTTAACACATTTTTTAAAAATATTTCATAGTTTAAATTTATTTAATACAAAGGTTTATCTGTTTAATTTTATACATAAAAAAAACTTTTAAGATTTAAAATTTAGACTTTTTATTGAAGTCATAGGCTAGTGACCTAAACAGGTAAGGAAAGCTTGTTTTCTGTTTATTTCAACTGTATAAACCAATGTAACTTTGGTTTTAGTTGATACTCACATAGAAATTGGAAAAAATTGATAAAACTTAAGTAGATGACATGTTTCTAGTAGAAAAGATGTTTGTGAACAACTTTCATCACTATTGCAGTCCTGATGTTTTTGAAACTTGCTTTATCATTTTGCTTCATTGAAATTATGATCTTGCAAAAGAAAAGAAACAAGATGAAGTAGGTTTAGTTACATAATTTTGGACTTGACTGAAACAAGTTTCGTTTTGCCTAAAAAGCCTTTCTTTTTTTTTACCCTTGGGGCTTTGTTTACATTAGGCCTTATCAGCCTAAGTAGCTGCTGAAATGACATGGAACATACCAAAAGGAAATGTAAAATAATACATAAATGGAAGTATAATGTTTTTAAAACTTATTTCATATATGAAACAAAACCATATGGTTGACATTTTTAAAAAAAGCTTTCTTATAATTTGTGTATGGTGAAAAGTTATTTTTATTTTACAGCAGTGATTAAAAACACACGCACACAGAAAATTAAAACTGCGTGTGGTGTTTTTTCAAATGAAAGCAAAGTTAAAATTTATTGTTTATAAAATAAAACCTTTATAGAAAACCTAAGGGAACATAGGAAAACAAAGATCAATAATTGAATTCTACAATAAATGTAAGCACTTGTAATTGTGCATACAAAAAATGTTTTATGTGCAGAAGCTACATAATACATAGAACATTCATTGAAGATTCAAACTATTTTATCTTGTAATTTCTTTTTTGTATTGTAATTTTAAAAACTAAATGCCCTACAGGTTTATTGGATTGCACCATTGTTGTTTAGAGTTAATGGTGCTTTTGAAAATATTAAAACCCAATATTCAGTTTGAAACCTGAAAGAAATCTGTGGATCAGTTTGTCTATTGGAAAATTTTTATTTTTAGCTCAGTAATGGGAATACACTTTGTTAATGCAACCCATTTATAGTAAGTATATAGTTGATCTGCATTTTTTTTTCACAATGTTTCTTAGATTATGATTTAACATAAAAGTAGAGTATGTTTCAGAGATTAGTTTGCTTTTAACTGAACATGAATATTTTTGTTGATGATTGTGTGTTAGGTTTTCATTCTGTGTTGATTTGTAGCAATGTTTTAAATTTTTTATAAGATATATTCCAAACTGATGTTTTTCCGTCCAAAATAATAGATTGTACAAGTACTGGCACAGTGAATCAGTATGAGTTTTTAGATGAGATTTAAGTTTGGCTTAAAAATTGAAGTTTCAAAACATAACGCTGGTTCATTTTTTGTCATCTATTTTATTCTTTTGTAATCTATATTTTCCCCCTGAGTGTGACTTAACTAAAGAAAATGCCAGTTATACATGTTGCAATTACAAGTGTTACTTGAAAGTTCATTATTGAACTATTTTATTTTGAATCTGGTATTTTTCATCAAATAGTGTACATAGCACTTGGAATATATGAAAATGTTATGGGGAATTTTTAGAATGTCATCATTATACTTGGGAACAATAATGTATGGATCTTATAGGAATTAAAATCTGGCAAAGTAAGTCAATGTAGTAATTTCTAATGCTTTCACAACTTAAGTTTTGTATGACATTTCTTACAAGATATCATATTTTTAACTTGTATTTTGTTCAGCCTACAGATAGGTACAATAATCAGTTGATTAGTTACTATTGTGTAGAAAACTTGGAATAATTCTAGGTTTACTATGAAATCTAGTCCTTAATCTTCTTTTAACATATGTTATTTTATTATTTGAATTGTAATAAATATTTTCATTATTTTAATACCTGCAATAAAGTACAAAGATGAATAAAGCAATAAATATTGGATTACTACTACATATTTCTGCATATTTATGAAACAAGTCAATTGGCTCTTTTAACCAGGTTAAAAGTTTTATTGAATCTTGAGTGACTAGTTGTTTTGTGAAAATTCACCTTATTTTATTTTAGTACATCATTAAAGTCTGTCCTATCTATGATTTGCTGAATACTGTAATGAATAAAGATGATTGCTCATTACTAGTTTTTGAAAGGAGTTATAGAAATTAGTTTAAGCCAAATTATATATCCATGAGAAGATGTATGGATATTTGTTTTTAAATATATTAAGCTCATAGAAACAGTTTGATTTTTTTGTTGTAATTGTTATTAGAAGGCTTGTAATAGAATTTATTTATCCTCAGTTGTGTAATAAAGTTTACATAAACAGTTTTGTGAGGTATTTTGATAACTGGATTTTATTTGGATATACAAATGATTTACAGAGAAATATGAGCTAGGTATTTATTATTGGGTATGTAATAAACTAAACTGGAACAGGTTACTTGTAAGTTCCATAATGTAATTTTTACAGAACAACTTGCTAAAACTCGCTTCTTAGAGATATAAAATCAGGTTGTTTGTTTGTTTTTTTATCTAAAAGCTTTACAATTTTAATTACATTTTGGAAGTGACAAGTTAACCTTGTTATGTATTATTCCTGACTTAAAATCTTAAGCTGTATCTGATCTCTTAAACAAATTCTTAACTATGCACTCATTAACGATATTAATTCTCTAAGACTGACAGTGGAGTAAATTTTAAATTTTCTACCCTCAGTTATAGAAGTTAACATTTTTAATTTACTGTATTATTCAGAAAAATCTTGGTTAGTCCAGTTGCCACATCAAATTGTGCTTAACTGATGACAGTGCATCTTGCCAATGATTCTACAGTGTGCTATTAATTGCAAAAGGATTTGTCATAATGCTGTTATGTCCATAACACATCTATCCTTGCATGGTTTCTATAACCTATCTTGTGTACAGGGGTGAGGGCTTCCAAGTAGCCATTTTGAAGTCCAATCCCACAGAAATCCATAGGCTCTGCATCTGGTCCAGTACATCTACGTATGGTATAGTAATGAAATCTCTTTTTCATTCTTCAGCTAGTTGAGGTATGCAGCGATTGGATAGATATGTCATGGAAAAAAGTTGTCTATATGTGACTTGTGCTTCTTTTCCTGATGGAAATTCTTCTTGATGATGTTGCATACAGTTGCCTGAGGTACGTAGATGGCTTTTGTCACTGATCTTTGTTTTAATGGATTTTCATCTGTTACACGATGCTGCACTTTGTTTACTACTCTGGGATATGAATTGTTGAAAGCCACTTTCTGGATTTGCCTGCACCCAATTTGATTCATATACATTTATTTTCCAATGCCATTAAGTACAAGATATCCTTGTCTTGAAATTTCTAAATCTGCGATCATGGATACATTTTGTTTTTCTGAATGGGCTGTTGCATATCCCTCCCATAAGTGATCATTTTTTAATATCAAAATGTAATTTGACTTACTGTTTTATCACATCTTGATATTGGCTATGCTTACCATATGACTTATTGATTTACATGTTAAAAATCATATTAATATAATGCATTTAGTCATCTGTATTTGTGTTACAGAAAAATGCAAATTTCTGAAACTTAAGGAATCATTAACAAAATTATTATGAAATACTAGTACATAATACTGTCCTTTCTAAATACTGAAGTTGTTCCAAATTAGCTTCCCTTCAAATCAAATACCTTGAAAAATTGCTTTAGATGAGTTTTTCCCACTCCTCAGAGAAAAAACATGATGTAATAGATTTTCCCGCTCCAATAATGTTTCCAGCTGTGACATAATCACATATACTGTGTAGAGTATAAGGATTGTTTGTAAAATACTTCATCAGAGCTGTGATATGTTAATGCCATAATTTTTAGGGAAAATACACGTCTTGATTAAAATTTACTTCTAAGATTCTGGGGTTTCTATAAGTAAGCTGAACCAAGGTATTTAGTTACAAAGACTTTGAAAAAGCAAAATATTAACGAAAACCGAAAATCCTTAGTGGGCTGTTTTAATTTTCTACCATTATTTTCTAAGGATCATATAATCAACCTTCAGCATTTATAAAGAAAGAAGTTACATGCATGTTGATAAACGAGCACAACTAATTTCAACAAGAATCTAGGAGTGGAGATTTTTTTGTTTTTAGCTTGCATGTACAAGGTACAGAAAACTTTATTCCTTTATGACTTACCACCCATGTGGCTTTGGCATTGACCTCACATTCACATTTTCTGCAAGATATCTCTAAAATCACATGCCCTAATGTTTTTAAGTTTGGAAGTAAGCTTGATTAACTTTTGAATCGGAACCACACGTATTTAATAAGGATATTGCACTCTGGTGGCCTTTAGGAAATAGGGAACATCTATTTTTGTAAAAGCATGCCTCCTAGTTGCCCACTTTTTGATAAAAAAAAAAAAAAAAAGGGGGGGGGGTATATTAACATCTCCATCATTTGAAATTGTACCTTCTTGTACATGGAACCTCCTCCAAAATATTTAGGAGTAGACATCTGAAATATTGAGGGATAATTTGTAATAGGAGGACATAATTAATTATATATAAAATTCCGGCCACATTCTTACAGCACCTGAAGCTAAAAAATGCAAGCTCTCATTAATCACTTGAAATTTCATAATGAAAATTGGTGTAAACACAGCGTAATGTAATATGACCCAATAGTCCCCAGGGGAAGGGGAGCCTGAGGAGTCAAATCTACGAACAGATATAGCTTGTATTATACCTAATTGATGGTAAGGGATGTAAAGAGGAGTTAAATGCTAATTTCCATATTGACGACATGACATTGACCTTACAAATGTGAGTCAAAAGGTTAAAATAATTAGATCTGTCCACTTTCAGTCCAGTACTCGGATATTAGCGGTCATCTTACAGTAACTGTTTTCCATTTTATACGAAAATTTTTAAGTCCAATTATTTATAGGAACACACCACAGGAAAAGTCAAAAAACAAATCATTAGGATGCTTTAGGACTAAGAAGCCAGAAGTGACAAAATCATTTGATGCATAAACATGCCAAATTTTCTATTACAACCAAATTATCAAAATTGTTTTTACTCAAAACTAGTGCACACAGTTCATAATGGGATGCCCAACACCTGTAATTGGGAGAATAAGCAAAAATTTTATATACTGCATTCAGTATGGCCAATTTGTGTTATTTGTTCCATAAGTGGTAAAAAAATATATTTCGTTTTACAATTACACAATGTTTACAATGTATGTGACAGAAATTCCGGTTTCAACCATGGAAAATGAGCCTCGCTATGCTTGAGAAATTTGCTTCAGTTTATCACATACACCCCAACTAAACACGGTTTATCTGTACGTTTGTATAATATAGATAAATATCTTGTTGATTGGAATGAAATAACTATGGTTATTTTAAACAAATATTGTTGTAATAAAAGGGAATGATATAAACTCACTAAAACATGCAAGACTCGTACACAAATCCCTTCGAAACTTAACGTCAACACACAACCAACAACTCTGATCAAACTGGTCTCAGACGGTTTTAGTTTGTATTCCTAACTTCATTAATCAAGGTTTATGGACAAAAGTAAGACAGATCAATTAAACAATATCGTCACTTTGCGGTCTGTTGTTTGTATAAAATAAAATTAAAAAAAAAACTAAAAATGTTTTAAGACATTTATTTGGGTGATTTTAAATTAGAGCATAATTAAAGTGATCTTTGCTTATGATTTAAACTCAAAATAAAGAAGATAAATCAGTAAGATGTAACCTTGTCTAAGTATATAAGCAGTGTCTAAATTTTAAGGTATAAATTAAGAAGCCAGTTCTGTACTTCAATTTCCAAAACCTGTACATTTGCCTAGAAAAACAATTATTGAAATGCTAATACAAGTCATATCTTACTGCGACGAGGCTAGATCAAGAGGAGCAATTCTATTTATACTGTCCAAGACGTACATATGATTTTAATATTTGTTTTACATATGATTTGAAATACAATTAATAATTATGAAGTATAATTACAATTTACTGCATTGTGACTCAAGTCATAATTAGGCTTACTATTTTGTAATTACAAATAGTTGAATATGACGTAATTATGAGATAGTAAGCTGTAGTTATGGGATATGTCGTAACTTCTAAATCTTGTTTTTACGACATAATGTTAATTTGTGTGGGCTTTTGGGTTTGCCTAGAACTGCTTAATAATTGCAGGAAATCTACAATAGCTTATTAGTTGTCGTTTATTTATATCACAGAATTTTTTAAAGATTTGCTTTAAAATTAAAATTTGTGTATTAAATATAAATTTAAATATTAACATGTAATTTCAAAGGCTTTTATACACATGTAATCAAAGAATAAATTAATATTCATGCTACAATCACTACAGTCTGTATATAGCAAAAGGTATCAATACATCATTTATGACAATTCCGAAAATATCTGCTTTGCATCATAACCATTTGAGATCATAGCTCAATTTATGCTAATCTGTGTCTCTGTTTTAAGTGCAGCTATTATTGCCAAAATTTTGGCA